TAGAGTACAGGGCCCTGAAGTCAAGCCCCCAGTATAAAAAAAAAAAAGTCACTTAGTACATAGCTTTTGACCTCTTCTGCTTTTCGTAGACATATACTAGTTATTGCAAATAAGGGAAACCAAAGGACCTGTGTTTCTTTGAGTCTGGCTTACTTCACTTAATTTTTTGTCTTTTAGTCTTGATAGCTAACAAAGTTGTATGTTTATAGTTTTTCATTCAAAACAGCTGAGTTAAACTTTGTGTCTTTTGCCCCTCCAAAAACTCCTAAAATAAACTAGCCTTTTTATTCTGTAAAGCTCAGTTGATTTTCTCTTAGTGACTCTTTAAATATATGAAGGGCCCCCTCCATTTATTAGAAAATATTCCCAAATCTTGCTTTCAAAAATAAATAAATAAATAAACTCTCCAACTTAAGGGGCATTGATTCTACCCAGACTTATACCAAGTCTGGGGAGGGCAAATGATGGGATGTGGGCCTTTGAAGACTTTACCATCAAGAAAAAGAAATACCAAGAGAAGCTGGGTGCCGGTGGCTCACACCTGTAATCCTAGCTACTCTGGAGGCTGAGATCTGAGGATCATGGTTCAAAGCCAGACTGGGCAGGAAAGTCCGTGAAACTCTTCTCTCCAATAAAACACCAAAAAAACGGAAGTGGCAGTGTAGCTTAAGTGGTAGAGTGCTTGCCTTGAACTGAACTGCTGAGGGACAGCGCTCAGCCAGAGTTCGAGCCCCACGACTGACAAAAAAAAGAAAAGAAAAACCAAGAGAGGCTGGGAAGGTGGCTCAGTGGTACAGCGCTTGCCTTGCATGCATGAGGCCTTGGGTTCGATTCCTCAGCACCACATAAGCAGAAAGAAAAAAGCCGCAAGTGGCGCTGTGGCTCAAGTGGTAGAGTGCTAACTTTGAGCTGAAGAGCTGAGGGACAGCGCCCAGGCCCAGAGTTCAGGCCCACGACCGGACCCAAAAACAAAAGCCAAGAGAAATATTCCCATCCCACCCACACATTTGTTTGTTTAGTACATCTTTTTTTTTCTTAGTGCCAATAGTGAGGCTTGAACTCAAGGCCTTTGTGTTGTCCCTGAGCTTTTTTTTATGCAAGGCTAATTAATGCTCTACCACTTGAGCCACAGCTCCACTTCTGGCTTTTTGGTGGTTAATTGAAAATAAGAATCTCAAGAGGTAAGAATGTCACAGACTTTCCTGCCCAGGATCTCAGCCTCCTGAATAGCTAGGATTACAGGTGTGAACCACCAGCAGCTGGCTCAGTAAATCTTTTATTCTCTTATCTCCTGTTTGCTTCTTTTTTCTGGGAGAGGGTCTTACTGTGTTGCCCAGGCTCAAGTAATCCTCTCAAACTGCTGATTTTACCCACTTGTTTCACATCCATGTGCTGGCAGAGACTATAGTATTGAAGTGGCTGAATACTGGCCATTTGTTGGATAACCACCTCATGCCCTGTTGGCTCCTATCAAGCTTGTAGCTCCCATCTATGGGGTTCACTAGCTAAGGTTTTCCCAGTCTATACCAGAGTTCTTTTGTCTCTGTTTAATCAGGCCCCGGTTGTGGGGCCTGAACTCTGGGCCTGGGCACTGTCCCTCAGCTCTTCAGCTCAAGGCTAGCGCTCTACCACTTGAGCCACAGCGCCACTTCCGGCTTTTTTCTTTTTGCTTATGTGATGCTGAGGAATTGAACCCAGTGCCTCAGGCATGCAAGGCAAGTGCTCTACCACTGAGCCACCTTCCCAGCCCCATTTTGTCTTTTTTTTAACTTGTGATAAAAGACACAGACTATAATGTTTATCATTGTGCTCATTCCCATCATTGCCCTCCATCTCTAGAGCTCTCTTCATCTTCTCAAACTGAAGCTGCATACTGATTAAAAATGTATTCCCTATTATCCCAGCTCCTGGCAACCTGCTGTCTCTACTTTTTGTCTCTGAATTTGACTACGTGTGAGAGGAATCAAGAGTATTTTTCCTTTTGCAAGTGGTATATTTCACTGCGCAGAATATCTTTACAGATCATCCACTTTATACCGCGTGTAAAAGTTCCTTTTTAAAGTTAACAATAATACTCCAGGGGCTGGGAATGTGGCTCAGTGGTAGAGTGCTTGCCTGTTATGCATGAAGCCCTGGGTTCAATTCCTCAGTACCACATAAACAGAAAAAAAGCTGGAAGTATTGCTGCTGGAGTGCTAGCCTTGAGCAAAAGAAGCTCAGGGACAATGCCCAGGCCCTGAGTTCAAGCCCCAGGACTGGCAAGATACTAATACTCCATTGTGCATATATATATATATATATATATGTGTGTGTGTGTGTATATATATGTATATGTATATATATGTATGTATATATGTGCTATATTTTGTTTATACATTCATTCATTGATGGACACTTGGTTGCTTCCACCTTTTGACTGTTATGCTTCTATAAACACATACAGATATGTCTCATGGGTCTCACTGGTTTTAACTCAGTGCATTTTGCCCTGTTTTGTCTTATACTGTATAATTATATGCAAATCCAAGGCCCCTACACTTGCTCAGCTCACTTGCTTGGCTGGCATTCCACCACTTGAGTTAACAAGCCTCCAGCCCTGCCTTTGGTTGATATTTTGGAGACAGTCTTCTGGACTTTCCTGCCTGTACTGGAGTCAGACTGTGATCCTCTGAATCTCAGCCTTCTGAGTAGCTTATCGTACAGATAGAAATCACCAGTGTCCAGCCAACTTAATTTTTTTTCTAATGGAGACAGGATGTCTCAGGATCTTTCAGGTTGGCCTGTACAGGTTGGCTTTGAATTCTCAATCCTACCTTCACCCCAAGTGCTGGAATTCCAGCTGTGTGCTACTACACCAACTCTAACGTCTGACTTTATCCAAATCTCTTTTTGAAAACCATGGTATATTTCCTATTGATCTGCAGTAATCTTTGCACAAGATGACTATTCCTGTAATCCTCAGCATTGTTAAAGACTTGCATCCAGGCCCTCACAGATGCACTCTGGGAGCAGAGTGGTATGAAAGCTATCAGTTCCCAGCATTCAACTGTGAAGACTGTGTCAGAAGCCTTAAACCAACTGGTAGATGGGGCCAAAGTAAATGGTTTGGAGGCTTGTTCATTGGTTGCCTGTGTGTGTGAAAACTACTAAGAGTACACACAAACTAATATCAGGCATCAAAAAGAAGGAACTAAGTCTTACAGTGATCTGATTAGGTTGCATTCCTTTTCTTCACACATATTGATTGAGGTCCTATTGTGAAAAGCACCAAAGTACATTTAGAAAACAAAAGATAAATAAAACACACTCCCTGCTTTCAGGATGATTTACAGAACAAGACACTGGAGAACCTTCCTATTCTAGCCCCAGATGTCTTTAAACTAGGCTTCTGCCTTTGTGTATCACCTTCAGGTAAGGAGGACTACCACGCTCATGAAAAACTAATGAAAGGACCCTGAACTTCACCTAGATAGGTTTTAAGCAAAGATTTGTGGAGAGACTGAAAAATCTCAGCATGAAAGCATTTTAGGTATTTAGCTTTCACTTTGGTTAGTAGAAAAGCACAAGGAAAACAAAAAGTACTCTTGCTCTTGACAGTATAAAATTCTTATTCTTTTTAGAGAATAGTAACTATGCATTTATGAAATTCTTTGTCAGAGCAATTTAGTTAATAGCTATGTAAATGACTATTACTTTGCTGTGTAGGTGGATCACTCCATGTACACTTTATGAAAAAGAATGTAAGTGCTAAAAACTGTTAGCCTTGAGACAGAAAGAAGCAAAAGTCAAGCTGCAATGCTGTTAGTGAAGGTTGAGAGGGGTAGTGGCAGTTTCTTTGTTTTGCCAAGTGGTATGTTTTACACACATACAACTTGTGGATTTCTTAAGATGAGTAGAAACCAAAGTGAATTGTGCATTTCTTACTCTGATTCTTTTTTTTGAGGAAAAAAAAAGATTCTTATAAACCAGCTGGGGGGGATGGCAAGGTATTAGAAGTTCATACCAAGCCATAAATTCCTATGCAGAAGAATATCTCTTATACATCACCTGAAGGACATTTTTTTAAGTTAATTGAGTTTGTGTGTGTGTGTGTGTGTGTTGTATTTTCAGCATAAAAATAGCTCCAGAGGAGGTTAGCAGTGCCAAAGCTCTAATAGTTCTAGCTGCCCCCTGTGATCAGCATGGAAGCTTCTGTACTCATGAAGGAGTGAAGCCAGACCTGGCCTTGGGAAATAAGTCAGCAGTGAGCCAGCATAAATGGGCCTGCCTGGTAGATGGTCTCTAGCTCTTCCCTCCCTTTAGCTCATTCTATTTACAGAATGAGCCTCATATTCATTTGTGCTAGAATTATTCCCCTTCTTTGAAATATCTGCAAGTTCCTAATAGTCACATAAACTACATTCAAATTCTTTGCAGTGGATCCCAAACTTTGTATCAGTTTTCCCTTCCCAGCCTCCCCTCCTAACTTGTTTTGACTAGCATCAGTTCACTTTCTCCATGTCAGGGTAGCAAAGGAACCCACAGAAACTCACTGCTTTTTTTCTGGAGACTAGGACTCAACCCATTTTCTTCCTTTCAGCTCCCACTCATCAGTATACCAAGTCCTTATTACCTAGTACCACAGAACTCTTCTCACAAAATACCTAGGATTAGGGCTGAGAAGGTGGCTCAGTGGTAGAGTGCTTGCCTTGCATGTGTGAGATCCTGGGTTTGATTCCTCAGTACCGCATAAGCAGAAAAAGGCAGTAGTGGATACTGTGGTAGAGCGCTAGCCTTGAGCTGAAGAGCTGAGGCCCAGAGTTCAGGCCACATGACTGGACCAAAAAAAAAAAAATTACCTGGGACTATAAATGGCAAGTCCTTTATAGGCTATGTCATGGCCACTGAGGATAGAGACTAATTGCTGGGCCCTGCTGGCCATCCTGTAGGTGCTATATACTGAGTGCCTTTTTCCTAACATTCATATGTTTGTTTTTGTGTCTTGTTTCCTTTTCCTCCAGGTGCAGAGTGAAGATAGTGTCATTCTATTTGTTACTGCCTGGACAATCACAGAAATTATCCGTTACTCCTTTTATACATTCAGTCTATTAAACCATCTGCCTTACCTCATCAAATGGGCCAGGTAAAAAAGAAAAAGTCTATGCAGTGAAAACTGTTGGAATTATCTATCACATTTGCCTGTTGTTGCCTAAGTACTGCTTTGCTTTTTTTTTTTTTTAATGTGTATGTGCTAGTACTCAGGCCCTGAATATGTTCTGTCTGTTAACTTTTTCCCCCTCAAAGCTAGTGCTTTACCACTTGAGCCATAGCTCTCTACTTCTGGCTTCTTTCTCTTTTTTTCTTCATTTTCTTTCCTTCCTTATTTCCTTCCTTCCTGCCTTCCTTTCTTCCTCTCTTTTTTTTCTTTCCTTATTGTGGTTGATTGGAAATAAGTCTCATAGGCTTTCCTGCCTGGGGTGGTTTCAAACCATGACCCTCATATCTTAGCCTCCTGAGTAGCTAGAGTTACTCGCCTAAGCCACTGGTATCCAACCTAAGTATTGGTTCTTAAGTTTCTTTTTTTGGGGGCGGGGGGTCAGTCCTGGGGTTTGAACTCTAGCACTCTACCAATTGAGCCACAGCGCCACTTCCAGCTTTTTCTGCTTATTTGGTGCTGAGGAACCAAACCCAGGGCCTCATGCATGCGAGGCAAGCACTCTACCACTGAGCCAACTTCCCAGCCCCCTGGTTCTTAAGTTTCTAAAAATAAAATTGCATGGGACAGAAGTTACAGAGAAATCCAGTCCGTAGATTTCACCAGGAAAAAAGGATTTTATCTCTGGTTTAATGTGTGTGCACATGCCAGGATTAGGGCTTGAATTCATTCTTATATTTTTGCTTGGCTTTTTTGCTATTTTGTTGGTTAATTGGAGGTAGAGTCTCTTGAGCTTTTCTACCTTCCAGCCTCAATCCTTAGACCTTGGCCTCCTGAGTAGCTACAATTACAGTCTTGAGCCACCAGCACCCAGCTTAAAAATCTTTGTATTTACTTTTTTTTTGGGGGGGGGTCCAGTTGTGGGGCCTGAACTCTGGGCCTGGGCCCAAGGCTAGCGCTCTACCACTTGAGCCACAGCACCACTTCCGGCTTTTTTCTTTTTGCTTATGTGGTGCTGAGGAATCGAACCCAGGGCCTCAGGCATGCAAGGCAAGCGCTCTACCACTGAGCCACTTTCCCAGCCCCTACTTTTTTTTTTAATGTCAGTTGTGAGACTTCAACTCAGGCCTAGGCACTGTCCCTGAGCTCTTTTAAAAAAAAATTTTATTGAGATTAATTGATTACATATATTTCACAAATATCACAGTATTGTGGGATAGTAATACTTATTTAAAGTCACAAACACATTTTAACCTTCATGAGCCACATTGTCTGGATCATGGTCTATAAAGCTTATGGACTCTACAAAGTTAGATACTACAGCTATTTCTTCCAATTCAGGTGATATGTACACTTCTTTCCTTTTGCTAAATGTAAGCTGTTCCCTCTTTCTCTGGCATTCTCTCCCTCCTATTGCTGCTCTTGAGCTGCTCCTGAGTTCATTTTCATCAGTGTCCAGTGCAGCTGATGGGCCCCTCTGTTATATCTGTCCACTGTTTCCCTCTGGTTCTGTGCCTCCTCCTCAGATGTGCACATGTATCATGTATAGACCATATATGAGATCAAAAACATGGAGTCATCTAGAAATGATACAACATTAAGTAGAGGTCCTTTGTTTCTTGAGTCCTGTTTACTTTGTCATATCCCTGAGCTCTTTTGTTCAAGGCTAGCACTCTACCACTTTAAGCCACAGCTCTACTTCCAGTTTTCTGGTAGTTAATTAAGAGTCTCATGGACTTTCATGCTGGGATTGGCCTCTAGCCATGAACCTCAGATCTCAGCCTCTTGAGTAGCTAGGATTACAAGTGTGAGCCACCAACTCCTGGCTTTAAATTATTTTTATTAAAATCAGTTCTCAATCACATTATTTTGGTAGAAGTTTGGTATGTTATACCTAAAAGAGGTATTACCCTGTTTTCATCCTGATCAAATTTTGCCAGTGAACTTCTACTGTTATGGTGGTTTTATTTATTTATGTTTTTTTTGGTCGGTCGTGGGGCTTGAACTCTGGGCCTGGGCGCTGTCCCTCAGCTCTTCAGCTCAAGGCGAGCGCTCTACCACTTGAGCTACAGCGCCACTTCCGGTTTTCTGGTGGTTTTTTGGAGATAGGAGTCTCACGGTCTCTCCTTCCCGGGCTGGCTTTGAACTGAGATCCTCAGATCTCAGCCTCCTGAGTAGCTAGGATTACAGGCGTGAGCCACCAGCGCCCGGCTATGGTGGTTTTAGACAAACTAACTTTCTTACTCTCAATTTTGTCAAGTTTCTGTCTCTTATGTTTTCAGTTATTAAAAACATTATATGTTGTTTTTACCTCTATGAGTTTTACTTTGATTTTTTTTTTACCAGTCCTGGAACTTGAACTCAGGGCCTGGGCACTGACCCTGAGCTTCTTTTGCTCAAGGCTAGCACTCTGCCACAGGAGCCACAACACCACTTCTGGTTTTTTCTGTTTATGTGGTACTGAGGAATCAAACCCAGGGTTTCATGCATGCTAGGCAAGCACTCTACCACTAAGCCATGTTCTCAGCCCTACTTTGATTATTTTTACCAGTAATTCTCAATTTTGACTTCGGCAAAGGGTAGTAGCTCATCATTTATCTTAGCCAGTGAGATCGCTGTTAGCAGTTTTCCACATTGGAAAAGCTTATGGAACATAATACCTCTTTTCATAGAAAGAAAACAGTAGTTATTAGGCAGTTATGAGTTCAGTAATTAAATAAGAGTCATTGTCCATTGTGTTCCAACATTTGAAGCCATAAATATTTTTGTTAGCAAATTATTTTGCAGTAAATATTTTCATTAGTAAAGAAGAATGGGAAACAAACCTACCAACCAGCCTATATAGCCATGGAGATCTAGAGCTGAGCCCTGATTTTACTATTGGAGAAAGACTCTTCACCATTTTCCTATGACCTATGGTAGTCTTCCTTTTCCAGTGTCCTTCCTCATGAGCTAGGGTGGCAAAAGGAATATGTCTTCCATTCATCTTCATAGATTTCTCAGCATAACTCTTGTGCCTGGGAGTTTGGAATTGAGTATTCATTGTGAGCCATGAACAGCCAAAAGCTTTTTAAAGTCTGCACTAGGGATTTCTTTCACAATGCCAGCACCTTTGATTGATTTCCAGGCTCTTTCCGTGAGGTAGTAAGTTCTCACTGAATTCTTTGGAAACAGACAACTTCTTAAAGTGAGTATAAGTGTATGGATTCTTTTCTGTGATAGTAAGTGTAATTGGGATTTTTCAAACTTGAAATTTCAGAGCTATTATGAATTTTTAGCATTGCTAAAGGTAGCATATATTCCACTTTTATAATAGCATGTACAGACATTTGGAAAGTGGTGCCATTATACATATTTGATGTGCTATTTTCCTTCTTTCTACAGACAAGACTTGGTGTAGGTTCTAGGAATTCTTAGATAATCCCTGTTCTAACACCTTCCTCTTGACCCCCTGCTAAGCCCCACTCCCTTAGCCCACATGCAGGGCCCTTCAGTATAAAGCCTGACTCAGTGCCTCCGTGCTACCAGTATGTGGCATAACCTGGATTGCTTTGAAGAGTTGTTTACTTACTTTGAGGCTCATTCAACATATTTATTTGTTTTAAAAAAGAAATATACTTGCTATGGGCCCTTTCGGGAAACTGACTTGTAAAAGCTGAAATCTAGGAACAATAGCTTTAGTGTCAGACTAGTGCTAAGTGGAAGTAGGAGTGCGTCTTTGTGCTCACAGCGGCTCTGAGCCTCAGTAATGAGAGTCTTGTCTTGTTTCAGGTACACACTTTTCATTGTGCTCTACCCGATGGGAGTGTCAGGAGAATTGCTCACAATATATGCCGCTCTGCCATTTGTCAGACAGACTGGCCTGTACTCCATCAGTTTACCAAACAAGTACAATTTCTCCTTTGACTACTATGCATTCCTAATTCTGATAATGATCTCCTACATTCCAAGTAAGTACAGTGCATATATTTATCTGTGTTTTAAGTTTTGGCTCTGCAATACCTAGAATTAAATGCATTGGATTACCCTTGTCCCATATCCAAGTAAATATAAATTTAATTTCTTGGTAACGTTCTATTTTTTGACTGTTGACTGTCAAAGAGAATTTTCTTTAGTAGTAATTAAGTTAAGATGAACCCTTCTTGGTACAGCTGCCAAAATGCAGCCCTTCTTGGTGTGTAGGTTTGATACACTGAATAGCAGGGTAAAGAAACTACTTACTGGGGGGCGGGGGGAATACTGAGTAGAAAACATAAAAGCCATTAAAGACCTTACCTTGGTTTTATTTTCTGTCTCTTGAGAATTGCTTATTACGGTTTTTTAAAACACTGTAAAAGGATTTTTGTATTGTTTACTGTTTCAAAACAGTTTTACTTCATCTTAAGGAATCAGTTGACTAGAAACAAATAACAGAATAAAAACAGGGTTGTTGATGTTTTTCAGCATTTCTCATTTTCTTGTTGAGCACTAAAACCCACTGAGTGGGGCATGATGTTCCCTTTCAATGGCTTCCAGTTAGTCCAGTTATTCTGTGCTGAAGCAGAGAGGAGATGCCCTGCTGGATGCCTTTGGGGAGGGATATCTGTGGTGCTGAGAGCAGGAGTGTGGCCTTCTTCTTAAATGTTGTTCAGTTCTGCATTCCAAGGACGACATATTCTTCCTTTCCTCATTTAGCCATTTCTGTAGCTACATTCTGAATCTCACTTTAGTCTATAAGGACTTTGTAGACTTTCCTAAACCTGTTAAGTTCAGGCAGGGATGAATTTTTTCTTTAGCCCCAGCATTATCTTGAATGAATCATTGTAGGGATCTTAAGTGACATGTTTGTGTCTCTCTGTGGAAAATTGCATTTCATGCATTGTGGGAAAAAACTACATCCAGATTTCAAGTGAACATTTATTTTAGAGAAATTCTTGGACACAATCCTGCTTCGTGATTCATTTTCCACTCTATTCATACCAAGTCTCCCCTCCTTAATGATGGAACCATGGTAGATAAAGGCCATTTCTCTTCATATGTCAACAATAGTTATTTTCAAACAAAAGACAAATATGGAAGACTTGAGATGTTTAAGTAGTAAAACTAAAAGTAATTTTTTAAAAAGTAGTTCTTTAAAAAAAGCTTTTTTACCTTTCTAATTTTGTCCTCTTTGGATTTATTTCCCATCAGTGAAGCTACAACACCTAGTTGTGCTTTTACCATGCCCAGTGTAGTGCATGTTTTCCCACTGGGTGCCAGAGTTTGTTTGAGTGCAACATAACATCTGATGAATGGGAGAGATACACCACCTTGGATAGCTGGGGAAGGGCACAGATGGGATCACAAACTCACTCCTGTAACAAGATGCTGCCACACTGACAGAAACCAGGGGTCCCAGCCTCAAGTGTTGCTGCCACATTTCTGCTCTGTCTACAGAGGAGGGCTTCGTTTCTGGAGCATCTGCCCCCAAATCTGTTAGTTTCCTGTATACCATTGTTGCCAACTACTACCAAGTCTTTGTGTCTTCCTGCTCCTCATGGTGGTGCACAGGTCACACACAGCCTCCATGATGATAGGACTCCTGAAGGAAAACACAGCCAGCGCTGAGAGTTTACTCTCTTGGCCTTAGAGAAAAAGGATACCTCAGGGCTGCCTTCTAGAAAGTTGGGTAGGGCCGTGCTCCAACAGAACTCTGCTTTCTTGACTTCAGCTGCTTCCTTGGTCAGAGAATCTGGCTTGGTTCAAGCCTTTGTTTTATATGACAGCTTTAAGGGTAGATTTCAAAGGAAGGCTTAGGTATTTCCTTTGGGTTACTTATGTATATCTTGGCAGCACAACCCAACTTCTGCTACAGATCACCACACATCTGCTGGCACCCACCAGTGGTCTTGGATGTGTTCAGTAATTCAGGGTATTAATACCAAGACAAGTTTTTACAGTGCCAACTGCATATTTCCAAGTGCTCAACACTTTTGGATTTAAAGAAAGTAATGAAGAATCAGGCAAGTTTGTTGTTGATATTGCAGTCTTTTTCAGCAAATATGGCTTTCTTTCTGAGGTTCTTTCAGTCTTCTGGTAAGAAATTTGTGATACACACGAATAATTTAAATAAACACCTATTCTTTTTTATATATTTTTATTGTAAAGATACTGTATAGAGGGGTTACAGTTACATGAGTAAGGTAATGAGTACATTTCCTATCTAACATTGTTTCCCCCTGCCATTCCTTCACTCCCTACCTCCCCAACTCCTCCCTCCTCCCCTCCAAGTTATAAAGTTTGTTTTCTATATAGTGTCTTGTACATCTCATTGTTACAGTGGGTCATCCTGTATCCTTGTTTCAGCATTTACAAACACCCTTACTTTACGGCCTTGATCCATTGCTGCCTATGTAGCTTATATGACTCATGGGCCTCAGCTCTAGGACTGTTTTCGAATTGGGGGTCCTCTGAATCACTGGCCAGGCATTTCTGCCCTGCATGCTCCAGCCCATGTGTACAGCAGCCCACAATACACCATCTGTAAGGCTCAACAAACATCTAAGTCCTGTTGACATTTTCTACCAAAACATGGGAGTGAGGACCAAAAGCGTTGAAAATGCTGCAGGGTGGGGGCCTGAGAAGTTGGCACTGACCAGACTGCCAAGGATCATACTCAACATCACCTCTAACGCACAGAGGCAGGCACACATGCGCACAGTGACCATTTCCCATCTCTGTGTCCTGAACTGGAAAGCAGAAGGTAGAGCTTGGACTAGCCTGTTTTTTGTTTTTGTTTTTAATTTTATTATAAAGGTAGTACACGGTGGGGCCACAGTTACATGAGTCAGGTAGCAAGTATATGTCCTTTTGAGCACCCTTCCCTCATTCTCTCCATTTTTTTCCCCTCCTGGCTTTCCTCCCCCCAAAGTTGTATAGTTCATGAACTAGCCCGTTGTTGAGTTGAGATTTTCTTAGTGGTTCTATTCAGTGTAGCCCCAAGTAGTTAAAGGAATAGCCATGTACCTGGAATTGTTCCAGACATTTTACTTAGGTGCAGCCTGAACTCGTGGGCCATTGTAGTGGAGGCTCTCAGTGCTATGGCCACTAAGAAGTCACTACTGGCTAAACAATGTAGTTCACACCTGTAATACCACCTACTGGGGAAGAAGGAGGATTTCCAGTTTGAGACCAGCCCAGGTACAATTAGCCAGACCTTGTCGTCACAAAAAAAAAAAGGCTGGAGGGCTTGATTCAAGCACTTCTCTAGTAAACCCAAGACACTTTGATCAATCCCCAGAACTAGGAAATAAAATAAGGCACTGCCAGAGCTGAAAATAACAGCTCAAGAGCCTCTAGCCATCTGGCCTCCTTGCTTATTACCTTTGCCCCCAGCACTAAGGAGTTGTAAAGAAATGAGAAGGGGGCAAATGAAGGACATGGCTGGCTGGCTTTCCTAAGTACTTACGGAGTGGCTTTTGAGTTACTAGCCTCCCTCAGATCTCCTGAATTAGCCATGAGTCCATAGCACTCTGTGGGGTAGTGTAATTACAGATATACCCAGTGAGTCCAAGCATGCTGGACTCACAAGCATGCTTGGCTCACAAAGTTTCCCTTCACTGAAGTAAACCTAGAAATGACTGGCCCCATGTTTTTATATGATTACAATTAGCATTCCTTATGGCTTAATTACATCTAATTCTACATTTTAGATTATAGAACTTGTTAAATGTTCTGGCTTTTGTACCAAAATAGTTCTGCCACTATTCTACATAAGCTGGGCCTTTTCTATGAATAACTTCCTGCCAGGAAATCCGAGTGGAATGGAGGACAGCAGTGAATCCTGTTCAGTCCATCAGGTCTCTGTGTATATCTCCTGATGTCTTGGTGTACTTGAAATTGAAATTTGGCCAACTTGGAAGCCCTTTAAAAAGCTAGACACTGTCCCAGAAATTAACCTCCCTGAAATACAGATTACTGTCTAAAACTTAAAGATGGAGCAATTGGGGGAGAGGGGGGGCATTTTACCTATGGAATTTATATAGTGATTGAACCCCTGGCATACAGAATCCATGTGAAGGCCAGGTAGCTCAAACTAGCAGTTCTCAGCAGGGCATCTGGGGGACAATGTTCCGCTGGCAGAACTATCACACATTAGCACCCTGGTCTCAAATGCAAAATGTCGGTAACCTTCCCACCAGGAGGAAGAACTATTCCTATTAACTTAAGAATCAGTAATTTTGCCGGGCGCTGGTGGCTCACGCCTGTAATCCTAGCTACTCGGGAGGCTGAGATCTGAGGATCGCGGTTCAAAGTCAGCCCGGGCAGGAGAGACCGTGAGACTCCTATCTCCAATAAACCACCAGAAAACCGGAAGTGGCGCTGTAGCTTAAGTGGTAGAGCGCTCGCCTTGAGCTGAAGAGCTGAGGGACAGCGCCCAGGCCCAGAGTTCAAGCCCCACAACCGACAAAAAAAAAAAAGAATCAGTAATTTTAAATATGCCCGTGAAATAAAAATTCCAGACACTGGCTTCCTTTCCATAATGACTTTTTTTAATATCCCAACTTGGCTTGGTTTTGTTTAGAACAAATGTAGCTTACCTTGTCAGTCTTTGCTGAATGAGAAGAACAGCTTTTTTCAGGAAATGCTCTGGGGAGATTTCTTTCCCTGACCCCAAGATAGACTGGGCTGACAGGAGCCCATTGCATGGTCCTGTCAGTGAATTGCTGTGGGACCCTAGCCAAGTTACTTGCCTTTTCTGGGGCTTGAGTTCTTTCTCTGAAACAAAAAGAACTCTTATCACTGTTCTGCTTTATCAGATTGTTTTATAATTAACCAGAATAAATGTAAGGAGAATATGAAAGAATATTATTTAGCAGGGCTGAGGACATAGCTCATGTATGTATATACTACCATGTCCTGGGTTTAGTCCCCATCACCACAACAGGAAAATCATAATACTAATAATAATGCAATTAGGATAATGATGATGTTATTTGGGGGCTCTGTAGCATTTTGATTGGTCATGACAGTGACAACAGTGTCTGGCACTCCACTCAGAAGCACTTTTCCTTAGCTAAACAGGAAGACTTAGAGCATTGTTTCCCTTCCCCAAACCTGCCTGATTACTTCCTTGGTCACTGGATGAGAAAGTAGACTGAGGTTCAGACAAGAGTATGAGTCTATGTGCTGTTAGCAGAACATAGTTTAAATGATCTCTTTAACTTCTTTTTTTTTTTTCCAGTTTTCCCCCAGTTATACTTCCACATGATACACCAGAGAAAAAAGGTCCTTTCTTATACTGAAGAACACAAGAAGTTTGAATAGTTCCTGCTTTCTGCACCATCCCAAATCCCCCAAACCAAACTTTTCAATGATCAAAAAATGCTGCAGACTTTTTGAGTTCCCAATATGTTTCATAGAAAATAAGTAAGAACTATTTTTAAAATATTTTAAGAAAAAGGAAAAAAACCCACAAAATCCACTGTCATATGAGCCTGGGATTTTATAAAATAAATAAATAAAGGCTGTTATACAGTGTCCTGGCCAGTCCTTTCAGCATGCTTTTCCAGCCGAGAGCTCCCAGTATTTATGATGGCCCCAAAAAAGGGATTGGGCGTTTTATTTCCTCCCGTGTCCTTCATGTATATGATAAATAAAGGTCTGTAACACTGAGCCCTTGAGAGTTCCAATCTGCATCACAGTTCTAAGTAATGAAATTGCACTGACTGACTGCCCAGCCCGTGGCAGAAGTTAAGTTTCAGTCTGCAGTATGTTTAGCATTCCCTCCTCAAAGTACTTGACTGCATGCTGGAAACGTTGTACTTTTGAAACAGCGAACTTTGTCCTCTAGAATGATCTGAAGTTCTGGCTGGGCCCTAGCCCTCCTATCTAGTGAATGAATTATAAAATGTATATGCCTGTGAAGCTTTGGGGTAGTGCCTGTAACCAGAAAACCACTAGAACCCTTCCATTTGTTTTCCGTTGAGTCACTGCCAGCCACTAAGAATGGTGCTTGAATTTATTAAGTATGTGTATATTGTAAAGAACCTTCTTTGCCTAGAGCTCAGCCCAATTATATTTTAACAAATGACAATGCTCAGAGAGGGACAGCTCAATAGCCAGCACTGCTCTCAGAACACCTCGTGATGCCAACATCCATTCTCATTTATGGACTCGAAGTGGGCTTTGTCAGAGAGGAGTAGGGAATCTGTTATTAAAGGCACATAGGCCATGTTGCTTTAGAAATGCAGTCAGTAAAACATTTATGCACTGTTCTTTTTTGGCTTTTCTGTTTAGATGTTTTTTCCTAATTATAGTCCAGTGTTAATTCCCACAGAATTACACGTCCAGTGGCAGCTCATGTTCTAGGTAGGCAGACTTGAGCCAAAGCAGTATCATCTCTGCATGTGGAAAAGCCACAAAACGCTATGATCCTGTGCGTATTGTCTTAATTACCATTGTGTCTTGCTGGGTGTGGTGATACATACTCATAATCCCAGCTACTCAAGTGACAGGCTTTGGGAGGATCATAATTCAAGGTCAGCCTGAACAACAACAAAAACATTGAGTATCCCCCATTTTAACAAGCTGGGCATGGTGCATTCCTGTGATCCAACTACAAAGGGAGGCATCACTGTCTGTGGCCAGCTTGAGCAAAAATAAAAAGGTTGAGGCATGGCTCAAGTGGCAGAGTACCTACCTAGCAAGCCTGAGAGAGGCCCTGTGTTCAAACCTCATTACCATCAAAGGGAAAAAAACATCATGTCTTCATAACATTTAGCTGTCCGACTACATTTAAAACACCTCCCAAAAGGGTTGGATGAAAATGAAAAGCATAAGTTTAGGTATACTAGATTTTAAACAGGGTGTCTCTATGGAGTCTTTGTTTTTCTTGGTTGATCTTGAAGACTTTAAAAAGTCTAGCTTGATGAGTAATTGTCATTTAAAATATAATTGCTAATACCAGAGGCAAATCATAACAAAAAAAAATTTTTAATGCTTATTTTCATAGAATCTTGAAAATATAATGCAAATGTAATGAATTATTTTTAAGTTGAACATTAAAATTCTGCTTCATTAAGTCAGCACTCTTAACTTGGGTGTGTTGAGATTTGAATCTGTTCCTGTATTTGTTACACAAATATATGGGAAAGATGATTTCTCGTTCATTTTCTCCCTTTTTACCCTTCCAAAATGGTTTCTCCTGTAAAAATAACTTGGGTTATATTAGCCTTATTCCTTTATTTGGTTAGTACTGTTTCAGTTCTCAGGTGGTTGGAGAAGATAGTATGACAATTGCATGTTTTCTAGCATTGCAGGACTGGGCATTTTCTTCAGGCCTCTGGATTGTAAGTGGCCACTTCATGTAAAACATTCTCTTGTAGTCAGTAGTGTTGCATTGAACTGAACGTGGCAATAAGAACACAACCGCCAACTCACTTTTCAAAAAGTCTGAATTCCAAGAGTGTTTTTGTGCATCAACTTTAAAATACTTATGTCAGATAAGTATGGTGTGTCACTGTGTCCTTCAGTAACCTCCCTAAGCAATTGGGTTCTTAAATCTCTAACATGAATTAATTTCTCCTTAAAGTGCAGGTGTTCTTTTATAAATTGAGAACATCCACCTCTCCAGATGTCACATCTTACAAGGTGAGAAGGAGGAAGGTGTTTTTCAGTGGGTCTTTTGTCAGGGTAGGTGGTTTATTTCAGCCACAGTGAGACACCGTCCCCTCTGTGCCCATTTGATGGTGTGTCTCAGATCCCCCAAGGGGCCTTCTTCTGAGAATCCTTTGAGGTGCACCACAGTGCTTTGTAAACACAAGCTGCTAATCTGCATCTTGCTGTGTTCTCTTTGCTAAGCTTGGGATCACTCATTTCACATGTTTCCACCGTGGTTTATCAAAGGCCCCATGGAGTCAGCCATGAAGTAAAGCGCTGTCCTCCCAGACCAGGAAGTTGCTCAGAAGGAAGATGTAGTGCTAAAGAGGCAATTGAAAGGTCATGCCCTCATTTTTCACTTGTGTTGGCAATTCGGTTCAAATAAAAGACTGGCATTAATGTGGTCTGACCTGCAAATTATCCTCTATTCTGAGTTTCAGATAAACTATTATAAAACTTCAAATTCGATAACACACAACTTGGAAATTTGGGCAGAAAATTAGACAAACATACATACAGTCATTTTTGTATTTTTTCTATGTCGTGAAAACCAAAATTGTAATTTTATAAAGTCTTTGATTCACTAAAATTATATAATTTAAATGTATTTTTTGTATATTTAGAAATAAGGAATTCGAAGACCATGCTTAACTTTCTATGCATGCATTTGAAAGCTGTTTTTACCTGATAATGTTAATGTAGTAATAAGTTGTATTTATAAAATACTGATCTGTGTTGCATTTCAAAATAAACTGGTGTGTGCTCTGCCTGGATTTGGTCTGAATGCCGTGTTACGGGAATGTGAAGAGTTCCGGTTCTGTCAAGGATTCCAGCTCATTCTTAGACAACTTTTAAATTCCAGTTCTGCTATCCTTAATAGTTCTGTGCTTAGACAAAAAATAAACAGATTTTATTATTCCAGAAAGTCATTCTTCCCCTGACAGTCAGTCTTCAAGCTCACCAAGCTGGGCTCCAATCTTGCTACACAGGGATAGGAATGGAACCAGGAAATCTTAAGAAATTAGCTTAAAAAAAAAAGGCAAGAACTCTTGTCTTAGAAGGAGGTGGTGGTGGTTGTTGTTTTGGTTTGTTTGGGTATTAAGTTGAAAGTTTTCTAATTTACACTAAATTGAACAAGGACAACCCAGCAGTGTTGGTCTTTTATGAGAACTAGATGGGGCATTCGAATGCCTCATCTTGAAAATGGTGCCAAATTTAGAACATTCCTAGGAGCTTCTTCATTCACAGCTGTCAAGCTCAAAGAGCTTCTGTTTCTTTCCCCCTCACATGACTTTCTGTACTAGGCACTTTCTAATTCTCTGTGCTTACAGCAGCACTGTGCTACCACCTGACCTTATTCAGAGTTAAGTTTGCTTGGAGAACAACTTCCAGGAGGCTGGCTGCCCACAGCCTAGCTGCTCCCAGCAAGCTGGTTGGACCACTCCTTGCCTTGTAAAGATTTATCCTGTTGCATGCATAGGTTGGCGAGTATAACAACAGAAGCTGAAGAGCTGTGGTAAAGGCCATATTCAAGGCTACCCTACAATCTTAGGATGGTGTTGGGAACCCAGGCTTTCTGGTTTGTCACTGTCCTATTTTGTGGTAGTTATGTGTACTGTGTTAACATCAGTTAAGCCCGGAGGAGAGGTACTGTTTGTGTAATTAAGAGATCCACTGTTACAGCATTCCAAAAATACTGCTGTGTTGTCCTGTTCCTATAACAAGTATGAAAACTAGCTTTGCAATTCCTATTTTTTTTTTAATCCCAGCCTCTCAAATAGCCTGGATCATTGTCAGTTTAGTGTTGAAGAAGCTGTTCTAAGCCACTATTACCAAAAATAGCCATACCTATTAACATTTGCCTCCATGCAGCTGAAAAACAGGGTTATGGGTCCCCCCCTTTTTTCCCCAGAGCTGTGCTGGGTTTTGTGTGTGTGTGTGTGTGTGTGTGTGTGTGTGTGTGTGTGTGTGTGTTTGTGTGTTTGCCAACATTTTCTTTTAAACACATGGGACTATTTCATTTTTTCCCCATTTACAGTGATACTCTTAAGTGTTACTGAGACAAGTCTCATTACCAAATATAATTTTTCCCCCAAAAGGCAATTCACTAAGTGTCTCATTTGATGAGCAAAAATAAAAATGCAAGAGGCTGTGTATTTAAGCACCTACTGTACATCATAAATCATTTTATGTTGGGAAGTCACATTTTTGCAACCAAATTCAAATACATAGACTTCTTACCATAGCAGCACCCTCTCATCTGCCTGGCCTTGGGTGGATATAAAGTAAACCAGATGTGTCTGCAACCCTACACTGGGCTAAAGCCAGGAAAGCCATTTCTTCCTCCACAATGTAGCCTTGCCTTCCCGCTAGGGGGCAGCACCTCACAGGCAATCTGGGCTTTGAGAGCCCCAGGAGTTTGAAAAACATTTTCAGTGCCTGGACACAAAAGGGGCAGAAAGAAGTGCTAATGAAAACTGGTCAGGCATCTTCATTTTTCCATATAAAACAAAGACAGGCAGGTTTTAAAGCACATTTTTGGAGGAATACAGGAAATAGCAATTCATAGAGCAAAGAAAACTAGACAATGCAGGCCGTGAAGCTCCATCTATTTCCTTCTAGTTGTGATGTTCTTCCTATCAGAGAACCTGCAGCCAGCTAAATTTTGAAAAGCCAAGACATTTTGGAGCTGGGTGCCAAAACAGGTATTAGCATTCCTCTGTAGCAAAGAGCTTGCTTGTTAATATTTGAGATGTCCAGGGAGGTCAGTTCCCAACATTACTTTGTCTCTCGATATTTTTGGAGGGCAGTCCGGGCCATGAGAAAATGTCAGGCCACCTTATAAGGCGGTGTCTGAACCAAGTACCCCAGGCTGCAGCATGTTCAGTACACTCTGGACTTGAGTTAACTTGATTCTTGGACTGTGGGTTTTCTCACAGATTTAAAACATTTCTGCCCATTCCATGGATTTTTCTCACTGTTTAACAGACTGAAAGTCTTCCTTCAGAGACAGTTGTTTAAATGATGGCCATGCTGAACATACCAAGGAGATAACCAAGGGGCTAGCCAGATGTCCATCAGCTGGGTCTAGCTGAGTAGTGATGGGACTGTTGGTAGGTATGGTCAGGAGAAGAGTCTGTGGTTCAAAGGTGGAATGAAATTAAAGTTTTCTGTTAAACGTTCAGTCCTTTTCTATGTGAGAGGCAGGGCTCAGACTGGGATCTAGGAACGTGGTTCCTTGTTTTTACTTCATTTCTAAGGTATATCTGTCTCTTTTTTTCTCGTCTCTCTCTCACACACATACATATTAGGAAATGAATTATTGCTTAAGAAGGGTCAGATGATTGGATATGTGTGGCTCTAATCTTAGCTACTCAAGAGGCTGAGCTTGAGATCTGAGGATAAGGGTTCAAAGCCATCCTGGGCAGGAAAGTCTAAGACTCTTATCTCCACTTTACCAAAAAAGACAAGTGGGGCTCTGGCTGAAGTGGTAGAGCACTAGCCTTGAGCAAGAAAGCAGCTCAGGCACGTACCCACCCAGTTCAAGCCCTGAGTTCAAGACTGAAAACAAATTAAAAAGGCCAGATGAAGCAGAGCACTGCCATCTCACATCTGTAATCCTAGGTACTCAGATCTGAGGATCAAGGTTCAAGGCAGCCCAGTCAGACACATCCAAGAGCTTTAGCTTCAGTGAACCAGCAAATGGCAAGACGTGGAAGTGTGGTTCAAGTGGCAGAGTACCAGCCTTCAGCAAAAAAAAGCTAAGCAAGAGCTCAAGGCCCTGAGTTCCCTTAGTACCAACACAGAAAATAAAAGTAAACAGAACTGCAGATGGATCTGCTATTTGCTGTACTGGTGAACACAAAAGATTCCTTCCAGTGACTGTGAACGTCTGAGTAGATGGGCCAGCAGCCCTTCTGGTATCACACAGGCTAAAAGCCCTACGCTGAGATTGGTACCCTGTACTTCACCCTTGGGACTGCCGCCTGGCACAACTGTCGATTTCCTTTCAATTCCAACCTCCTTTAACTGGAGTTACTCTCAGCCCAGCAATCTCCCTAATTTTGCCAAGAAAAGAGCCAGCAGACTAAAAGCCCTTCCAACTTTTTGTTGTCAAGTCTCAACTTGCCTGTCTTGGGTTTATCCTTTCTTCAAGTTAAAATGAAAGAGGTAACTCTCTTATCCAAAGCCAATTCCTACCTTGTGCTCTAGGTCCTCTCACTGTTCTCTTACAGAGATACAGACAGATAGACAGATCCCCTTTGTCAGCTATGCCCATCATGGCTTTGGCCCCATGTCCTTCACTATTCCCACCTCACACCTGTTCTCTCTCTCACCTACACTGTAGCCTGGCTCTTCCATACAAGCCACTGGCACTTCTGTTCAACGTCAGTAGTGACGTTTGTATCATGAAACCCACTGTGTACTTTTTAGTCCTACTAGATATTAGAAATCTTGGTATTGCTGGTATGGTGCCTCGTGTGTAATCCTAGCTACTCAGGCTGCTGAGATCTGAGGTTGCAGTTCAACACCAGCCCAGTGCAACAGAAGTGCCTGAGACCCCCAATCAACTAATAAAAAATTGGATGTAGTAGCGTGAGCCTATCATCCCAGCTACCTGAAAAACATAAATAGGATCTTGGTCCAGCCTGTTGGGTAGGAGTGAGGGAGCAAGACCCTATTCAAAAACTGATAAAAGCAAAAAAGGTTGATAGAGCTCCTGCCTGGTAAACACAAGGCTCTGAAGTCAAACCCTAGTACAGCCCCTCCCCAAGCCCAGTCCTACCCTAGAACTGCCATTTCCCCTCCAAGCATCCCCAAAGAAGGCATGCACAAAAAGTAAGCAAGTAAGCCAAAAGTGTTAGCTGTGGCTTGATACCAGGACGCAGTTGAGTTCTGGTGGAATGGGAAGGTCCTCATAGAACCTTCTATGACATAGTGAGATGTAGTCATTTAGGCTAAAGGATATGAAGTCTGCTCAACTTATCCCAGCATTTCAGCCCATTCTAAAGTCTCAACCTCTGTGAGGAGGAAAAAGGTTGATCCAACACCACAAGTTTGGGGGGTTTGTTATTCTCTAGTTTTTTAATTGTTATAAAAATGATATACAGAGAGGTTACAGTTGCATAAGTGAGATAAAGAGCACATTCCCCTCCCTCACTCCCATTTTTTCTCCCATTCTCACCCACAAGTTCATTTTCAACACAGTGTGCAGTGAGTACCACTGCTGCATTTGTTCATTCTTTGTCCCTCCATTTCCATTTCCCTTTATACTCTCAAATACATTTAAACAAACAGAACAAAAAAGAATAAGCAAAAAAAAAAAAAGAAACACAACATCTTGTTCCCATTTCCTGGAGTTCATTTTGATAAATATTATTTTATATAATCAGATGCACATAGGCATTGTGCCTTTTGTGTTCCTCTCCTAAAAATATCTTCCTTTGCTCTCACTGTGTGTGAATGCCTAGAGACCTGTATAATTTATTATGTTGAGCCTTGAGTTCTTGCTTGGCTTTTTTACCCATGGCTGGCACTTTACCACTTCAGCCATCCCTCCAGTTTCAGCTTTTTGCTGGTTACTTGGAGATAATAGTCTCCTGGATTTGCTGGCTTCCAACCATAATCCTTAGATCTTAGCCTCCTGCAGATACATGTCACTTAAGATGAGATATAAGCTTGGCACTGGGACTTCAGTTATTAAAGGGATGAAACCACACAGGTAGAGTGCCTGTGTCACCACCCTTGGGACTAGCCTCTACAGATAGAGGCT